CCCCCCCCCCCCCACAGCTACTATAACAAAATAGAAGGAGGAATGAAGGGGAATGACAGGTTAAACAACCTCAGGCATATGGTGGAGGAAAGTAAGATATGCAAGAAAGTGAGGAGCAATGAGTCTAACTTTTTGTGTGATTAGAAAACCAGCAGTGAATATTTATATTATACAGTACACAGTGAAATGATAGTAATATTCCAAGCATTTAAAGGGAGCAGTGTGTGTGTGTGTGTGTGTGTGTGTGTGTGTGTGTAGGTTTGTACTGCTATGCTTGCCATGCTGTTTAATTTGAAATTTATTTTGCTTAATCTGAGTTTTGGGGACACAATGCTTTTTGTAGGGGTTTGTGGAGAGTGGGGGAGAGAGGAGGGGTTAAATATGAAATTGTGACTGCACACTGTTTGTGCATTCTGCCGTCCGTCTGGCTCAACAGTGTTGCACATCAGATAATGTTAACAGACTGTTATCTATATTAAAAGCAGACTCTAAAAATAATAATAATAAATCCAAATTTTTATCTATTGCTGTCCTACAGTACAGTCTCTTTGTCCCTTTCTCTGTCTCTCTGTCTCTCACACACACTTTGATTGTTGATTACCAAGCTTTCTATTTCGTCTTGTTGATATCATTCAGCCAGATTGAGTGGTAATTGTTACACTCACCAATAAAACAGTCGTGTACAGCAATAATCTCCGTTTCAATTTCTTTAAAGTTTCTCATTAAAACTGATTGTAAAACAAGGCCGTCCTTTTTTAAACCAAACTGAAAGTAATTAATTTCAAATCTTCTTTGCTCCTAATTAAAATAATGGATTTCATGTACTTGAATTTAATAAATTTGTTTTGCGAGACAGAGATTGAGCATTAGGCACGGTTTGGTGTTTTCAACATTTGTTGTAATTGCTGTAGTGAGTTTTATCAACCTAATCTCTGTATACTTAATTACAAAATGAATTACTAAAAGGACAGTGTTATAAAACAATAATTGTGATTTTTTTTAGACGTTTATTCTTCTACTTTTCTTTCCTGTCACTGATACAATGCTGTTGTCACTAGCAGAGGATTCTCCCACAGCAATCGTCTTCACATCTTTCCAATAATCTGCTGTCAAAAGCTAAAGAGACCTGACAAAAGGCAGAACACTGGTTTTTGAAAAAGTTAAAATTCACATGGTTCTTTGCTTGTTTGGTGATGAGAGGGGAGGTGAGGAGGCTGCGGTTTCTTGGCAGGTGGATGCAGAGAAGGTTAGAGATCGGCCATGGGAGTCTTTGAGCTAATAGAGAGGGTATTGGGACTTGGAGTGACAGGGTTAGGGACTCTGGGTGTGGGGTGTGTGAGGTCAGATGCTGGGGTATTTTGGCTTCAGTGTGGAAGGGTCAGCAGCAACGTGCTGCAGCTGAAATGGTACATGACCTCAGTCTGTGAGATGATTGGCACGAAGTGAAGAAACTCTGACGGGATGTGCTCATCATCCTCTCCGTCCTCATCCTCAGATAAGGGCCCAAAGAGTCTTGAGGGTCAGGGCGTTGAACCCAGGCTCATCGACACCAGGCTCCACAGCTTTGTTAGAGCAGAGGCTTATCTTTATGCTTTACTCCATGGTGGTTATGATTCTGCATATGAATGTGTGTCATCGACAGTCACACATATGGTCAAAGCACGTTCTCAGGAGGTTTTCCCTTTACGGGGTTCAATACGAGGTCAAGGGTGTAAAAATGTCTTTAACCCATACTGTTCTTATGTTTTTTGTCTGTTTCTTTTTCTTTTGCTGACATTTCTCTCTTCCTTTTTTACCACTCAACAGCTTTTTGTATTTGTGGTTTGGAACTTTGAACTCTATATGATCCCCCTGGCTTTGCTGCTGCCTTTGGTCTGGAACTACATTCTCATCGCATCGGGGAAGGATACGAGGCAAGATGTGGTGAGTAACCCCATCACTTCTTGATATCTGTCCACCTTTCTTCTTATCCTGACTGTAAATTCTTCCTTTGTAATGACGAGGATCCTATTGTGAGAGGGCGACATTATCGTTTTGTTTCATTTTTCATTTGCAGTATTTTATTTTTATCCAGGTCATTTCTCAATTGTAAAAGAAAATGAAAAACAACGGATAAATAACAGATAATCATAATTCTGGTAATAATGCAGTTGTTTTAAGATATAGCCTTGATTTTATGACACTCTTACACTTGCAGCAAATTGGAATTTAATTAAAAACTCCAGAATTCTTAATAACTCTTCTCATTTAGGGTCTTCTTTCTCAGTGCGATCTCACATTTCTTACTTTGCCTCCGTTCAGGCAAAGAAAAGAGAGAAATAATAGGCTGTCACCTTGAGCTATGTTACACCACTTACCTGCTAGTGTATTTATTTAATTCATTTATTTATATCTCTTATACCAATTAAATGATGTCAAAGCAATGTCATGGAAAAACAGACAGGTTTTAATCATTGCCAGGGACATTTGGAGAGTAGAATATCGAAGGATTTGAGCCACAGACCTGCACTTGGACTGGAGCGTAGACAATTGAGTGATTAATTTTAATAAGTGCCTTTTTCCAAGACTCAGGTGAAAATAAGCAGTTAAAACACCTTTCATCGCTCTCTATAAATTTATTTTATTTACCTCTTCATGAGGATTCATAGAGAGGGGTTAAATTGGATTAGGAAGAGATATAGAATTCAGTTGCTATAATGAACCAAAACATATTGCTATGTGTCATTGTTTTATTGTACATTAAATTGGAATTAGTGGAAAACTGCACTTTAGTTATGGACAGATTTGTTTAGTCAGAGCTTGTGAATTTATAAGCCAATCTCCATATTATTCAAAAAAGTCATTTAGTTACACAATCTTTAAATTATTATTATTTTTTAATTCGGTGTATTCACTAAAATTAAAAACAGAAAGTTAATCTTTGCAGTTTAGTTCCCGCAACAAATTCACACGTGTATGGCTTTTCTAAGCCTGTAGATGGCGACATTGCCCGAAAAAAAAAAGAACTGCACATGCCTGCAGACAAAACCGGTCGGACGGTTAGTCCCTCGTACCTGCTGCTTACATTCATCCAGACCTAATAATATTCTTCTCCCCCTGCACCTTCTAATTAAATTGTGGGAACGTTGGTGACACATCCTCACGACATGTCGCTCACTACACATACAAATAAGCACACTCCCACTTCATGCAGAATTAGTCTTTTTTTCCTTCTTCTTAAAATGGACCATTTTCTCTTAAATACATCAGAAATTTATGTTTTTTAGTTAAGTGGCTATTAGTATAATACTGAAACAGGATCCAGAGACTTATTGCAGCACATTTCTGACATATTACGTTTCACTGATTTTAAGCATTTGATAGTTTCACTTTTCAGCTGCACAACATACATTCTATAGATGTGTACAACTTTAAAACTTAGGATGTTTGATCATTGAAACCTTAACAGTAATATAAACTATTGTTGAAGTTGTTTAATGTTTTTGTTTTTGTTTTTTTCAAGTAAAACTCATTAGTTGGTGCTTTTATTTAGTGCTTCAGGTAAAAGGGGAAACAGACCAGTCTGGCTTTGTTTCATTTGTTTTCCATCCTGTTGAATTTGGAAGATCTTTTGGGGGCAAACTAAAATTATGACCTTTAGAAGTTCACAGACAGATTACTGCAGATTTCTGTCCTGTGTGTGTGTGTGTTAGCTTCTGTAAAATGTAGTGTGTGTTGTAATATTAAATATATTGTGTTGTACTTACAACATGAGGCCTTTCAAGAGTTTTTGCAGCTGCTGAAATGAGTAGAAATGAACAATAATTAGTACTACTAGAACATATTTTATTGTGGTGCTAACATTTACAGGTAAAGCAGAGATATATAAGTACAGCATTTAAGTTACTGAGTAGCAGTGAGTGTGGACTAGTCAGATAACGTCAGTTATCAACTCTATTGTCCTCTGTCTGTAATTGTCTTCCCTTTGTCTATTTGTAACACATACAGTCAGAGTATAAAGAAAAGACAGGGTTTTTTTTTTCAGGCGTTTCTCTTTCAAAAGTCCCTGTGTGTGTTCTTCTAGCCATGGTATTCTCCACCTGCAGGGGGGTTCAGACTGGTGGGAATGTGCACAGTGAGAACGTACAGTATCTGCCCTCTGTGCTTCCTTTCCCAGTCGCCTGAAAACATCTTCCGACTCTTTATCTGAAGCCGAAGTCATGGACGACTCACTGTTTCCCTCTCCCACTTGGCAGGGAACAGAAAAGAATAGAAAAGAAAACAAGGGGAGAATGGCTTTCTAATTACTTTAAACAACACACCAAATTAAAGCATTGTGCTGAGCCGAGCAGGGGTCAGCATCCGGACCATTGTGGTTTTTCCAGCATTCTGGGGGTGAGGGTAATGCCAAAGGAATCTTTACTGAACTCCGTGTGAAGGGTGAACAAGAGGGAGCGAGAGAGAGAGAGACAGAGAGAGAGAGACACATACACACACACAAAGAGAGAGCAAGTGAAAAAAAAAAAAACACACTTGAGCACACACTCCTTAATGAAGTGAAGGGTCTTGCTTCATCTGACGAGTTCAAGGTGGAGATTTTACATCACAGCCAAACTCCTCTGCCTTGTCGATGGTGGATAAACAAACACAGTGTTCTTTACACGCTGTAATTTACCACTCAGGGTCACCGACTGTTGTGTGGCTACATGCTGCTTTGCAAACAGATCCTGGATCTGCTTCTTACCCTCGCCCCAACCTTGACCGGTACCTGCTAAGCAGTCTATGCATCCTCAGAACAGCGATTAACGGAGGCGATGTTCCGGCAGGGTTATTGACCTGTTCTCTTATCATGTAGTACTCTGACCCACCAATTTTGACTCCTCAACACCTTTTGCTGACCTGTGTGTTCTGCTGGAACACGCTGAATGAAACAAACCCAACAAAAAAGAAGGACCTTGAATATATACAGGGGATGATACTATTTTTACTTTGACATTCCTTTTTCCATCTGTGTGCTGTTGCCCCGTTTGCAGGAAGAGGCAAAGTACTTTGTGTGGCCATTTCCTTTTTGTATCTATCTTTTTTAGCTTAAAAACAGTTTTGTGCTTAAATCCATTCATGCCTGCTGTAAAGGAAGCTGCCAGCAGCCTGAGTTCGGTCAACCAGAGGACATGTAACTTTACTGGGAGAGGGAAAAGGCTGCAAGGCATGTGTGCAGAAGCATGTGTGTGTATATTTTCACAGCGGTATGTCATATTCATGACACATGAGCATATATGATGGGTGCTGAGATTAGCAAGTGAGGAGACTTCCCCGTAGAAATCCTTCCATGCTGTTCTGCAGGTCCAGAGAAGGCCCTCACCAGATGTTCCAAAGGTGTTAATTTCAGTGCAGGCTGTGTAGAGAGGCTCAGACCAGTCATGGTTATGTCTCGTTTACCAAAGGATGATGGGCAATTAGGCCTCATCCTCCTGCAGGACCATTATTTTAATCCCATGAGTCCATTATACTGATTCACCCCATGGATTTGCCATCATATCAGAGAGAACGTTTTAAATAGGCTTAATGCATTCCACATTTCTGAACATGCTCATCGCTACTCTTCATCAAACATCTGAATTAAAACAAATATCCTTTAGATTTTGGATTTGTTTGAATCCATGTGGTTCTACTACTTTCCAAACCATACAGCACACACTGTGACAGCTATGTATTGTTCATTAGTGTAAAAAGAATCTGGTTAAGTTCCAAGGAAATAGAAATGTCAGTGGGTTTTTTTTTAGCGTGATACACTGCCAATTTTATCTTCTCTATTTTCTCCCTGATTTAGCATCTCAAAACAAAGCAAAAAAAGAGACGTTTCAGCATCTCTAAACTAACTGTGCCGTGACATCTGCCCTCATTAAGAGACACAGACAACACACACAGGTAGAGAAGAGTAAATATTAGGAGAGCTGGAAGGAAGGAAAAGAGGAAACACTGCCTATTATACCTCAACTCCTCCAGAAAGTCACACCTCCACGTTTCTTTCCCCCCGTAAGACTGCAACTCTGAAAAGAAAAGGGAGCGCAAGAAAAGGAGATGGAGTGGGAGCAGAAAAGAGACAGAGAGGTATTCAGAAAGAGCAAGCACAGTGTAGCAGCGGTGGATGGCAGGCGCTTCTCACTGCGGAGTCAGACATGGCAGATGGTGACAGGTGACAAAATCAAAAGGTCATGTCACTTTTAACTGGAAGCGCCTGTGCCCCACTGATTTCCCTCGTGCCGCCCCGGCATCACCGCGCTCATCTCTGCTCTCTTTTTTTTTTTTTTGCTCCTCTCCACTCCTCACTGTCTCTGCATCTCTGCTAAACTGGCAGATAGGATGGCAGGCTGGCAGGCAGAGAGACGGGCATAGTTTGAAGCAGGACAGGAGCAACGGGAGCATCAGGAAGAATCCTTCCAGCTTCCCCTTTTTTCTACAGCTTGTCTCTCTCTCTTTCTTCTGTCTTCTCCTTCCCCTCCATTTGTCTGACTCCCTTCATCACATTGAACCTTTGTAACTGTCTGTGCTCTTTTCTAACAACATCAGCAGCTCGGGGTCTCTGCCTCCATGCTTCTTGTTGTGTTGTTTTGTCTATACAATACATCTGCTGTAGATGTTTGCAGGGTTTTTCCCATTGAAATACTGAGCCAGAGCCTACGGCTGCATGTGATTTTGTGTGCAAAAAAGGCACATCAACTGTGTATCAACCTACCTCCTACCTCAGCTGAGTATCACAGTTAAACAAGACAGCATCATCTGTCTGAGAGGCTTTTACTGTATTTATGCAGTCTGGATCTCAGACGATGGTGATGATGGTAGAAGTAATGTTGTGATTTTCTCTGAATAAAAGCTGCTGGATTATTAATTAATAATCAGATGAGCTTTTGGACATTTTTTTTCCTGAACCAAAAACTTCCAGG